CCTCCACTCCCATTTCTCCTGGCCAGCCGTCCTTTGTTGGGACTCGAAAGGCTGCGGCAAGCCATGCCGGGAGAGGGGCCTGGTTCCGCTGGTTGCCTTGACAGAGCCGTGGAGCCGGCGCCAGTGGGATAGGCCTCTCCAATTATGTCATGTGAAACAGCAGCCCCCATTCAGAGAAGCCCATCCCCAAGATCAAACCCCATTAGTTCCACTGCCATTGCTTCATTATCTCTGCTCAGGAGTGTGCCTCTTGATGGGGCTGTTAATCGAAACCTGGTCCCATTAGCTAGGCCAGGCTGCAGGGGAAGAATTGACTCTGCTTTTAATTGGTCATTAGAGGTTTAATTGTCATTAACGGGCGGGCCTGAATCCAGAAGAATCTAACGGCCAGGAACAAGGGGGAAAGGTGTCTAGTTTTGTGGGATTAGGGCTCTTCCAGCCCTACCCATCAAAGCCTGGCCCAGGACATGGGGGCAGCTCCTTTGATTATAGGCCAGGACTTGTTTACCTGGCCCTTGGGATGGCTTGATTGTCAGTGATCTGTCTGAGCCCCAGGGTCACTGATGGGCAAGCCCCTGAGGCCTAAATTCCTGAATGGATCCAAGTCTTCAGTGAAGGAGAAATACAATTGAGCATCTGCTTTTCAGAAAAGACCCTCTTCCATGTCTCTGGTGCTCTTGCTCTTAGGCCAGTCTCACTCCAGAACCTGCGCTGCAAGGTCCACTGTGATGGGTGCTGCGCTGGAGACAGTGACTTTTTCTTGGATTTTTAAAGGTATTTTCCTTTTCCGCATTTTTTTCAATGTTTTTTGGGGGGGTGGGGGGGACCTTTTTTTTCCATTTTCTCCTTTTCACTCCTTTTTTCTTCCCATTTTCCTGTTTCCAAGGGCAAAATGGTAAAAAAGGAATAAAGGGAGCAACAAAAGTGGCAGGGAGAAGAGCACTGCAAAATCCTCAAATGAGACATGACCCCTGGCAGTCTAGCATGCAGACAGCATCTCTCCTGCAGAGCAGCTGGGGACAACCAGAGCCGGCTGTCACGCCACTCGGTTCTGCGTCTGGCTTGTGCAGCTGCCACCAGCACAGCCACCAAAGCCATTTTAGATTTGCAATTATGGCCAGAGCTGGGCAAACTATTGTGGGCAAATTTTTGCCAAGTAATGTATTTTTGACTTGGCCGCAAGAGTTTGTGAATTTGCCTTGAATCCGTGGAGTTTTTGGTCTACAAGGAGCTAGGAAAAAAAAAGAAAAGTCAAAATGTTTCATTTTGACACTTTAGGAACCTCCCATTTTGATTCCTCCTTTGGAAATGATGTTCTGTTTACCTAAATTTAATCAAAGAATAAAAAGAGGACCCCCCACCAAAAAAAAAACCAACCCCCAGTACGACTGTTTATCCAACCCTAATCAATCCTTTTAGCTTTTTGTTTCAGGTCAACCCCAACATGACTTTTTAATCACATTTTTGCAATTCAGTCAGCAACCTCCTCCCCACACCCATCAGTTATTCACACAGCTTAGGATCCTCTTGGCCTGAGGTCTGCCCTTGACTGACACATCTGGCTTTGCAGCCTAATGCTACTTGGGACTTCTGGGCACTCGTGTAACACATGCAAATAGTAAATATGCAGTCTGGAGAAGCAGAGACCATGCAGAGAAATGAGATGGGGAAATGGCTGTAAAGGGCACTTGGGAGCAGGGGTTTTAATGGCCTATGTTAGGGTCCAGCAGACTCCAAATGGTGGCCCTAGGTCCAGCGCTATTTATCTGAAAAGGGTCTGACTCTGCCTTTCTCCCATAATGGGACAGAGGGGAGCTGTGCCAAGCTGGCAGCTCTAGGTAACATGCTTTGACAGGCTGCTCCTGGCTTTACCCCCTACACTACATGTCTGTCTTGCCACCCTATGTGACAGGCACAGGGGAGAGTGGCCTGTTAGTTGCCCTCTCTGCAGCTCCACTGAGGCAGCTGTTGCCTGGATAAGCATTTGTCCTATTGCTCATACCGTCTTCATGGCAGGGAGGAGACAGGGCTCGGCTCTCATGAATACAGAGATGCTTCTGTCCTGGGGCTGCTGGTTGTATATCAACCCTGGGGCTCTCCCTAGCTCAGTCCCATGGGTGAGGTTTCTAGGCACTGGGATTAGCATTTGTAAGACTCCATCCCAACACCCCTGGGTGAGGTGGGACCTCTGTAGCAGCCAGACTCTGTAGGGTTGAGGGGACAAGGCTCCTCAAGACTACAACCCGCCTTGGACTGTGCATCTACACGGAGCCGGAGCCAGCCCTTGGTCTGGGAATGCTGGGGCTGTGCCAGAGGCAGGGTGGGAAGGAAAGGCCCCCTTGGAAGACTGTTAACAACCTGAGGGGTCTTCCTGTCTTTATGCAGCATCTGCTGTTGCTACTTCACTCCCCACCCTGCTCCCACTCAGCTGCCATGTGGCAGGGGGGTAGAGCCCTTGGAAATCATAAATGATCTGGAAAATACGCCTCAGGTCACACCAACCTGGCAGGGAAACAATGGGGATGGCCCTCACCCAGCCGCCTGGGGCCAGCCCAGACCGCTGGGCACCCTCCTCCTCCTGCTCCCTGGCCCCAATTGTGGAGCCCCGGGAAGGCGGCTGCCGTTCCTTGCAGCTCCATCTGTGTTTCTTTGAAATTCACATTCTCAACTATGTAATTACTGCAGCTTTGTGTGTCCAACATGTGGCCTTGCAGTCACTGCTTGAGAGCAATTAGGAAAGGCACAGCCCCCAGGCGGAGCCCCCCGCACCGCTCCAGAGTGATTGGAGACCAGATTCCCCTTGACAAGCAAAAGGGACATGACACTGCCTGTTAAAAATATAACAATACCAGCTCCCAGGCCAGGGCCTGGGAGAGACTTTCACTGGAAACTTGTGTCAGGTCACCCATGCATGGAATATGGAATTAGTCCTGACACACAATAGGCAGAGGTGGAGAAGGGGTGCAGGAAAGAAAGGAAGAAAGACTTTGGAGCAAAGAGTGGGGTTGAAAGAGCACGAGGAAGAGCAAGGCAAAAAACGAGGAGACATGAATGAGAAAGAGATCAGATGGAGAGAGGCAGAACTGAGAAGCATGAAGAAGAGGGGACTGGGAGGGGCAGAGATGAGCACATCGGGGACACAAGCAAACCCTGAGCCCATCCCTGTCCTTATGGCTCCCTGTCCCCAGACAACAGTGTCCCCCACCCCCTACTCGTTGTAGAACAGTCCCTGCTGACTTGCAGCTTGCTCCTTCCCCTCCTGAGACGTGTGGGGCTGAGTTCTCTGCCTGGTGGGCTGTCCAGCCCCTTGTTGCTTTGCCATGGATGAGCACAGCAGGACAGTGGTCAGGACACCTGTATGGCAGCTTTCATTCCCAGCAGGCAGCTGGCTCGTGGGACACTGCTCACTGGCCCTGCAGGTACCAGATGTGTGCTGTCTAAGAAGCAAAATGCAAATGGAGTGAGACAAAAGGAGTGATGGGAGCAGACCACAGGCTGTGGGGACAGGGCACCCACTCTGGTTAGCTAAGTCCCGGGGGTGGCCTAGCCATTTTAGCAGCCGGGCGTTCTAATTGCAGCCAGGCTAGATATTAAGGCCAACTCCTCGAAGGAATTTAAGGCATCTAACTGCCTCTGAACCTAAGGCTACTCAAAAGTCTGCCAAGGTTTGGGCCTAAAGCACCAGGCAGGAGGGGGCAAAACTAAGGAAGAAGACAAGCCTCCCTAAAGTCCCAGGACACCTGTACTATTTGTGCATGACCCTGGATTAAGTCCTATGCTCTCACAGGCTCACAGGAGGCTCATAAGCAGAAGCAAGGGTCACCTTGTGGTGAAGGCACTGGCCTGCGATACAGAATAGGTGAGTTTACCTCCTGTTTCTCCTAGGGATTTCCTGTATGACTCTGAAGAGGCCACACCATCGTTCTTCCTCCAATTCCTACCTACTTGCATTGTGAGATCCTTGGAGCAGGGCCCATTTTCTGGTCATGTAACTGTACAGCACCCAGTACCATGGAGTCAGGATCAGATTGGGCACTACCATAAAACACATCATCGGTATCCAGCAACGTCACCTTGGGAACAGTTCATTTGGGTACTGCTGTCTGGGAGGAGAGTGGAGCAGGGGCCCCTGGAGCCCAGCAATATGTTATGAGAGGGAACCAGCTACGAGACATGAAAGCTGCAAGATAAATGGACTGACATTTGGTAAGCATTAAGGTGAATATTAGGGAAAATTGCCCCAGTGGAAACTGTCTCCAAAGGGAATGGGTGGGGGCAGCAGAGATGTAACTAGGAATTCTGATACCCTGGGAGGTGGGGAGAGGAGTGCCGAGCCCCAGTCTTACCCCATCCCCCCTGTACACGGACTGCTGCTGCCCCTGCATGAGCTACTACTGCCACCCATGAATCACTGCCAAGACAAATGGCCCACTCACTCCACCTCCTTATGCTACTGGGGGGCAGGACACTTCAGTTCAGGAATGCTGCAAAAGCTCCTGTAGGAAAATATGGACAAGACCCAGCAAAACTGCTTTGTCTTCCCATGTCTGTAATTCAGAGCACAGACAAGTTCCCACAAAAAATAGGTGTTATTTTTCAAAAGAATAATGAAAGTAGATCCAGCACTCTGGTCAGACTCCATCTCAGGCAAGTATATCCTGTCTCTCTAACCTTAGTCTCTTACCTTCCTTAAAACACGCTGTAGTGCTGCTGTCAGGTCGTTCTCCACACCAGAGTGCTGTATTTTAGTCATTGGTTAAATTAAGCAATTCCTACATTAAGCACAGCCTGTAAGGAGCACCAAGGAAACTTGAGACAAAATATGCTTATTAAATTATTACTAACAAACCATCTACTATTGCTGTATTAGCAGTAAAAAGAGTGTGCGGGAAGGTCCTGTGCCCAACAGTGCCATAGTTATCTCTTGACTCAGAACAGGCCCATCTTTCATTGCATTTCTCAATCGAGCCACCATCATTCTCTGACACGGGTAAAAAAAACCCCAACAAAAGTTGTTCTCTAGGAAACTAGATCATTTCATTTTGATCTTTTTAAAATCTGCCACATATAAAAAAGGAATAAGAGTAAAGACAAAGGGGCTGAGGAACAGCTATCCGGGAAGGGAAAGCACAGTCTATCAAGTCCAGGGAGATTACAACAGGCTGCCAGAGATCCCTTGGTTTAATTCACAGGGACTCACCAATCTGTGGGAGTTCAAGAGTCCCTGTGGGGGCCTGGCAGATTTCTATTGCCAGTCATTGGTACAGAGGGCTGCTTGTTCCACTCGCTGATGCGAGAAGCCAAGGCTTCCTGAAAGGCAGGGCTCTGGAGACACAGGACCTCCCAGATGGGAAGGCCAGCAAATGTCACCCCTGCATGGAGCCCAATCCTGTTCTCACAGCTCTCACTAGGCAATTAGCAGCCTGGGAGGATTGTTTTGGTGCAGGTCCTAGGGGAAGCTCTGGATCAGGTCCTCAGCTGGTGTAAATTATCATGGCTCCAGCCAAAGAACAGGTCCTCTGCAGCTACAAAGAAAATGAAAGCTCAAACAGGCATGGTGCTGTCCACTTGGCTTTGTGGAGGTGATAGTCAAAGTAGCTGCTCTTGAATTCTCCTTTGTGGAGGTCTTGGGTGTCTTGGTCTTTTGCTAGACTCCATGGTTGCTTCCTTGTTTGTGACCCCAACTGATTCAGCCAGAGGAGACTTCTAAACATGGGGCAGGGAAGAGAGGAGGGTTCTGCCCCAGCACTGAGCTATGGCATTGAAGGTGTGTTAGCAGCTCGGCAAGCTGCTGCATAGTAGGGTCCTAGCAATTCCCCACCCTTCTCCTCAGCTGGGGTCTCACGGTGTCCAACATCTATTCAGTGCAACCCAAAATGGAGACCAGCCAAAGTGACAGGCATAGGAGTTTGGAAAGTTGCCGGGAAGAAGGGAAGTGACCATTTATCAAATAGGCTGCCAGGTTTTGTCAATGGTCTGAATATGCTCCTTGGCTTTCATCCGTAATGATGCAATACTGGAGCTTCTCTGGTCGACGTCTTCCAAAGGGTACTTGTCCACAAAGGTGGTGGCACACTGGTAAGGGGTGGGTGCCATGGGCTGCATGGTCTGAGACATTGGTGGCGGGCTGTTGAGGAAGGAGTGGCCAGTGTAGGCTGGCTGCAGGGCTTGGGTAGGTCCCATGAAACCTGGAATGCTGTGCACCGTGGTAGCGCTAGAGATAGGGGAAGTCAGCCAGGGGTCCAGAGGTAAGGAGTTGCTCATAGGCCCAACATTGGCAGTCATGGGGGGCCTACTGAAGGACAGCATAGGGGTGTCATGGAGTTTCATTGAACTGGCTTCCATTTTCTCCTGCCGTCTCCACTTGGCTCTTCTGTTCTGAAACCACACCTGCAATGGGAGATGCTGAACAGTGATTAACTGCAGGTATACCTATGCTGCACCAACTCACACCAAACTGAATTTAATTAGCATTCAGCACAACAGCCATAGACATCCAGGACTGTAGGATTACTGCCCACAGTGGCCATCTGGAGAGAACCTAGAGTCTCCTGTCCCCAAATCACCCCTGCCACACACTGGGCTAAAGGAGAATCCTGCCATACAGGGTCTATGGTGCACAGCTGAGCAATTCCAAGTCCATAGCAGAGGGCACCGATAACATAGCCCCACACACAGTGCTTCCCCATCCTGGTACCACATGAAGACTGGGAACTGAAGATGCTGTGTGACAGCTGAATGCTGTTTCCATAATTACCCACAGGTCAGTCACCTCTGTTGGTTAAATAATCCTGAGGGGCTTCCTCAGACAAAACTCTTGTGGGTTTTCCAATTCCTGAACGGGGTGTTTCAGACACACAGTTCTGTATGGTGTCCCTCTGGCAAGCCTCATCCCCAAGCACTTTATGAGTAGCTAAGAGGAGGGAAGGAGGCTGCAAGGTGTGATGTGAACAAGAGGAAAAACAGAGGTGTCCAGGGAAGAGCCATTTATACAAAGATGCTTTACCCCAAAGCTGCTGCTCAGACCAAGGTGCTCTTATCCTGGGGCACCTGAGATTGACTTCTCTAGTTTAGACCATACTTCAAGGCCACCTCAACTGACCTCCTGCACTGCACAGACCAAAGGGCTTCTCCCAGGAATCCTGAGGTCTAGCTTTAATTTCCAGGCACTGGGCCCTGTTTTGGCTTTGTCTGGTAAATTAAAAAACCCTTTCCTATCAGCAACCTTCTCCCCCTGAAGGTATTTATATCCTGTAGTCAATCCATCTTTATCCTTATGTAGAACACGCTCAGAACCATGTGGCCTTTCACTGTCCCTTGCCTCCATCATCCCATTCATTTAGGCTCCCCCATGCAAGTCTGGCCATGACTCCTGCTGGACTCCATCAGCACCACTCTTCACAGCTGGGGACCTGCTCCCTGTCTTCTTCCCCACAAATACAGTCAGGTTTGAGCCTTTAACCGCACGTTACGCATTAGGCTTCTTCACAACTGTAAACTCTTGCTTTAGAACATGTTCCAGGAGCATGCACTTCCACTGCAAAAAGAAGGACCAGCCAGAGGTATCCCTCATGAATCTAGCAATACATCTCAATCTTGGCGCTGCGACCTCACTTCTGTTATAGTCTTGGACCTCTCACCATACCACTCTGCTAGTATATACCACTTCTGTATACACCACTCTGCTAGTGCACCTCAGGCCTAAATCTTGTTATTCAAAACAGAATGATAAAAGACAATGATATAGCCGAATCTGAACAGCACGGCATATGCAAAGGAAAATTCTCTCTTAATGCTGTATTAGAATTCCTTGAACTTTTCAGCACAATAGCGGAGAAAGGAGAAGTGGTTGATAGAATTTATTTGGACTTTCAAAAGGCCTTTGACAAAGCCCATCACAAGAAGCTGGTAAAGAAGCTAAGTAGTAATTGGGTAACAGGCAAAAAACAAAAAAGTTGGGGATCAGAAACTGGTTTGGAGACAGAAAATAAAGAATAAGAGCAAGTACTCAAGTTTCAGCATGGCAAAAGTTTAATGGTGTGGGCCTCAGACCCTGGACTCCAAGGCTGCTGTTCACTGATCTGAAACTGGGGGTGAGTAATGACGTGGCAAAATTTGCAGGGCACCAAATTATTTAAACTAGCCAAGAATCCAAAGGGAATTAGAGAAACTTTGGAGGGATCCTTAAGACTAGGATGGAGAATGACATGGATGATATCTTAATGTCCTTTAATGCCAGGGATTACACGTGCAGTAGGCCTGTGCGAAGCAGCAAGTATTTGCTTTGGATTTGGATTCGGCTGATTCAGAGGACAGTGATTTGATTTGGTGGTTCAAATCACTGTCCTGATTCGATTCGGCCAAATCTCTGAATCAGCCAGGCCCATCGTCTGCCCGCTCTCCCAGCCTGGCAATGGCTGCCCCGTCCGCCCCAGCTCCCAGCTCTTTGGAAAAAGTCCCTACTCACCAGGTGCTGCTGGGTGGGGGACAATCCCCACTGCCCTCCACTGCCCCACGCTGCATAAGCCCCCCAAGCCCGCCTCACTCCCCCAGTCCCCCCACGGATGCCCCACCCGGGCCAGCTCTGGCCTTTTAAAAAAAAAAAAAAAAAAAAAAAAAACCTGAAAAGCCCCCAGACTCACTGCTCCTGTCAGCAAGGGTGATCCCTACTGTCCCCTCCTGCCCCGCACCACGTGGGGGCTCTGCACGAGCCCCCCAGAGCCCGGAGGCTGCACCAGGAGCGGTGAGTCCCAGGGGTTTTCTCCAGTGTTTTTTTCCTGAAAGGGCCGGAGTTGGCCCAGACGGGGCACCTATGGGGGGGCTGGGGGAGCGAGGGTGGAGGGTTGGGGGGCTCATGCAGAGCCCCCCCATGCAGCATGGGGCAGTGGGGATTGCTCCCCGCCCAGCAGCACCTGGTGAGCACCAGGGCTGTTTTTTTAAAATGCTGGGAGCTGGGGCAGGCAGGGGCAGCCATGGGGACGCTGGGGGAGCAGGAGATTGGAAGGGCTGGCAGGGGTCCCTCCATGGACCCGTCTTCCTTTCCCCCTTCCCCCACCCCTAGTACTTACCAGCTTGGAGTTGGCTGCAGCTCCCTGCTGCAGCCACCGGGGACTGCCCGAATCAACAAAGCTCTCCGAATGTTTTGTGAAGATTCAGAGAGCTTTGAATCAGCAACCTAAAGATCAAAGGGAAGCTGGGTGACAGCAAGCATGGGCTGATCACCTTCACCATCTGCTGAAAAGCTGTCAAGTCAGTCAGCAGTCCAGAGGTCCTTGACTTCAGGAGGGCTGACTTTGACAAGCTCAGGAGACTTGTTGGTGAGGCCCTAAGGGACCATGAGGCCAAGGGGAGGGGAGTCCAGGAAGAGTGGTTGCTCCTCAAGGGAGCGATCCTAGATGCACAAGCTAAGGCTATTCCGTCTCGGAGGAAAGACAGCAAGAGGGCACAGCAGCCCCCTTGGCTCAACAAAGAACTAGCGGTCCTCCTGCATCTAAAAAGACAGACCTACAAAGGATGGAGGACGGGATCCACCTCCAAGGAGGAATATACTGCACTGGTCTGGACCTGCAGGAAGCAAACCAGGACAGCCAAGGCTACCACTGAACTCCAACTGGTCACAAATATCAAGGACAATAAAAAGTCCTTTTTTAGATATGTGGGGAGCCGGAGGAAAAGCAAGGGTAACATTGGACCCCTGCCAAACCGGAAGGGGGAACTGATGACTGACACCCAGGAAAAAGCCAACTTGCTAAATGGGTACTTTGCGTCGGTCTTTCACATGGCTCCTGCCCATTACGGGACAGGGATGCCTAAGTGAGGGTGGTGCCTTGCCCTCCATCAATGCTGACCTCGTGGAGGAACACCTTGAGAGGCTGGAAACCTTTAAGTCAGCCGGCCCTGACAATTTACACCCCAGGGTACTCAAGGAGCTGGCCTGCATTAAAGCCCAACCCGTGGCACGGATCTTCGAGAGCTCTGGTGAAGTGCCTGAAGATTGGAAGAAGGCCAATGTGGTGCCTACCTTCAAGAAAGGGAGGAAAGTGGATCTGGCAAACTATAGGCCCATCAGCCTGACCTCTATCTTGGGGAAGGTCTTAGAAAGGATTATCAAAGAGGACATTCTAAAGAGACTGGCCGATGGCAACATCCTGGGGGACAGCCAGCATGGGTTTATTGCGAGTAGGTCATGCTTGACCAATCCCATTTCCTTTTACAACCAGGTGACCTATCACCCGGACAAGGGAGAAGAGATTGAGGTCATATATCTTGACTTCAGAAAAGCCTTCGATCTGGTATCCCATGATCACCTTTTGGCAAAACTGGCCAACTGCGGCCTCAGGTCCACCACGATCCGCTGACTAGGGAACTGGCTCTGGGGTCGGACCCAGGGGGTGGTGGTTGATGGAAGTCACTCATCATGGTGCCCTGTGACCAGTGGGGTCCCTCAAGGCTCTGTCCTTGGACCTATTTTGTTGAACCTCTGCATTAATGATGTGGACACTGGAGTCAGAAGCAGACTGGCCAAGTTCCCCAATGATACCAAATTTTTGGGTAAAGCATCCACACCTGAGGACAGAGGGGTAATCCAAGCTGACCTTGACAGACTTATGAAATGGGCGAGAACCCGATGGTGTTTAACACAGAAAAATGCAAGGTTCTCATGCCTGCACCATGTCTATAGGTTCGGCAGTGCTACGCGGACTAGCACTACAGACAAGAGCGACTTCGGGATCAGGATTGACCCCAAGATGGGCATGAGCCTTCAATGTGATGCTGTGGCTAGTAAAGCGAGCAAAACCCTGGCTTGCATCCATAGATGTTTCTCAAGCAAATCCCAGGGCCTCATTCTCCCCTTGTACTCGGCCTTGGTGAGGCCGCAGCTGGAGTACTGCGTCCAGTTTTGGGCTCCACAATTCATAAAGGATGTGGAGAAGCTTGAGAGAGTCCAGAGAAGAACCATGCACATGATCAGAGGTCAGGAAAACAGACCTTACAACGACAGGCTGAGAACCATGGGGCTCTTTAGCTTGGAAAAGCGCAGTCTCAGGGGTGATCTGATGGCCACCTATAAGTTTATCAGGGGTGACCACCAGGATCTGGGGGAACGTTTGTTCACCACAGCTCCCCAAGGGATGATGAGGTCGAATGGTTATAAACTACTACAAGACCGTTTCAGGCTGAACATAAGGAAAAGTTTCTTTACTGTCCGAGGCCCCAAGGTCTGGAACAGCCTGCCATCGGAGGTGGTTCAAGCACCTACATTGAACACCTTCAAGAGCAAATTGGATGCTTACCTTGCTGGGATCCTATGATCCCTGCTGACTTCCTGCCCTTTGGGTGGGGGGCTGGACTTGATGATCTTCCGAGGTCCCTTCCAGCCCTAATGTCTA